CCTCACACCATTTCCTCTTTCCCTCCTCCTGGCAACCTCCATACTTTCTCCTCTTTCTCTTCCTCATTCTCTCCTTCTCAGCCATTCACCAACCTACCTTTTATCTGTCTCCCATCTTCAGCTATATGTATTGTTTATTTGCTTCTTTTATACCCCGCCTTTCTCCACAATAGGAATTAAAGCAGCTTACATTATTCTCCTCTTCTCCTTTCTGTCCACACAACAAGCCTGTGAGGTAGGTTAGGCTGAAAGTATGTGACTGGTCCAAAATCACTAAATGAGCTTCCACAACAAGATGGAAATTCGACCCTGGGTCTCCCAGTCCCTACTCTGAAGTTCTAACTGCTACACTACACTGGCTTTCATAGTGTGGCTGCTGTTGAACAGTACCAAATAGCGAAGGCTAGTTGAGCCATGCAAATTGTGTGATATCAAGTCACTCAGAGGTTGCTTCCAGACCTAGGGTCGCCAACCTCCAAATCTCCCGGAATTACACCTGAACTCCAGAGATATTTGTCTCCCTGGAGAAAATGACCACTTTACAGGGTGAACTCTGTGGCATTATAGTCAGCTGAGGCCTCTCCGCTCCCAAACCCTGCCTTTGTCAGCTTCTTCCACAAAATCTCCAGGAATTTCCCAACCCAGAGCTGGCAATGCTAGGACTCACCCCAATGAATCCTCCCTCAAAGGCCATAGTAGGCCTGAAAAGGACCCTGCTCTCTTCTCCTGCCTTTTTACTCACAGTAACTGAGCCTGGAATACTGTTGTTGCGTAGCAACAGTCCCTGAGGGAGTCTGTTGCTTTAAGCTACAGGTATTCCTTTTATCATTTTGGGGGTTTTTAACCCCCGAATGTATTTTTTTAAGGTTTCACATTTTTCTGCAAACTATGAGGCCCTTTTCAGGTTTGTAGAGAGGTCTGTCTTGCCCATTTCCAGCTCCAGTCACAGGATTTAACTATCCTAAAATTTGACTGACTTCGCTATTAGTTTATAGATAAATGTTACATTTTTCAAGAACCCCAGGCACTCCAGACAACACTCTGTTGCAACCTTACTCCAGTTTCACAGAGCTTGGCATGTTTGCAATGATGCACTTCTGTGCATGTGTGATCTCTTTTTCACTTTGGATTTGAGGATCACGAGTATGCTGACAGCGTGACAGGGATTCTTCCTCTGTGTCCTTCACTTGCACTGCAGTCATCCTCAGCCACTGAACTAACCCAAGAGCCCAAATCCTATGCCCTGTTTAAGGTGTAAATGGACTGTTGAGAGTTTAAAAACTTGTCACGCAATGTCTGTAATTAAGTAGTTTTCTGTATCCTCAGACCATGGATTAAGATTAGTGTTGCCACATCTTGATGCTTTGTAACTCTGAAAGTAATGAGGATATGGTGCCCATGCTCCAGGCACGTGCATAGTAATCTTGGAGCTGTCAGTTATGGTTGGGTCCAGAAGATCTTAAACAATTACATGCTTTTGTGTCAGTCTTGATCCAGCCGTATAAATACTTGATGGGCTGTTTAGTGATACTGGAAAACTAACAGAATAAAGTTTGAGTCCAGTGGCACCTTTAAGACCAACAAATTTTAGTCAAGGTATAAGCTTTTGAGTGCACGTACACTTCTTCAGAAAGCTTATACCTCGAATAAAACTTTGTTGGTCTTAAAGGTGCCACTGGACTCAAACTTTGTTCTGCTGCTTCAGACCAACATGGCTACCGACCGAAAACTAAAAGTTACTTAAGTACAAAACTTCAGATAGTCTTTTAGTCTGGTCAGTCTTCGCTATAATCTTCATGTTTGATTTTACCTTCTCTTTGTTGATAGTGGCCCAGGTTTAGCAGCCGCACTGGACTC